GCTTTAAAAAAAGACAATGGAAACCTTAGGATGAAAACCATGCTCAATCCCACCATCAATAGATGATAATTAACATTCCATGTTTATCTTCTAAGTTTTTTGTTTTGTTTTGTTTCAGCTCACATACATCTTTTAAAAAGCCAAAGAGAGAGGGGCGCCTGGGTGGCTCAGTCGGTTGAGCTCCGACTTCGGCTCAGGTCATGATCTCACAGTTTGTGGGTTCGAGCCCCACATCGGGCTCTGTGCTGTCAGCAAAGAGCCCAGAGCCTGTTTCGGATTCTATATCTCCCTTTCTCTCTGACCCTCCCCTGCACACATTGCCTGCCTCTCTCTCTCTCTCTCTCCCTCTCTCAGAAATAAATACAGCTCCACGCTGGGCTTTGCGCTGACAGCTCAGAGCCTGCTTGGGATTCTCTCTCTCCCTCCCTCTCTCTGCTCTTCCCCCACTCATACTTTTGTGCTCTCTCTCAAGATAAATAAACTTAAAAAAAAAAAAAGTCAAGATATTATATCATTTGGCAATATAGGTTTTCTCCTTGAATATATATTAACATCTTACTATTTCAACAGTATTAAAGTTTTTCCTATTTCAATACACTATTCAAATTTTAAATTTTGTTTTAAGAGTTTTTTAAGGTTTATTCATTTTTCAGAGACAGAAACAGAGCATGGTGGGGAGGGGGACAGATAGAGAGGGAGACACAGAATCCGAAGCAGACCCCAGGCTCTGAGCTGTCAGCACAGAGCCTGACACAGGGCTCAAACTCACAGACCGTGAGATCATGACCTGAGCTGAAGTCAGACACTTACCTGACGGAGCCATACAGGTGCCCCTAAATTTTGTTTTAAATCCAAGAATTACAGATGATTATACATCCTCCTCCTGAGCTCTTCCAAAATGTTCTAACACATTATTTTAGTAGTTTCTTTTATAATTATTTCTATCTCTAACGGTTCCACCACTTATTTCTTTTGGAAATTTGTGAGATTTTAAAATAACCTTTATCAGGGGAGCCTGGGTGGCTCAGTTGGTTAAGTGTCCGACTTCGGCTCAGGTCATGATCTCACAGTTCATGGGTTTGAGCCCCGTGTCAGGCTCTGTGCTGACAGCCAGCTCAGAGCCTGGAGCCTGCTTCAGATTCTTTATCTCCCTCTTTCTCTGACCCTCCCCTTCTCTCTCTCTCTCTCTCTCTCTCTCTCTCTCACAAATAAATGAAAACATTAAAAAATTTTTCTTAATTAAAAAAATAATCAGTGAAGTTCAAAAAGATCCTTACATTTCATGTGTCTCTAGTTGTTAAAAACAAAACAAACTCAAATCTCTTCTGTTTGCATGTGACTTCAAAACTTGACCCAGGTGTTCTGTATGCAGGACATGACAAATACCTTGAGATGAATGGCCATAAACTGTGTAAGCTTCCAAAAAGGTGAACAGCTCTGGTCAGAATTTCTTGAAGTGGCCCTTTAGACACAGTCTATGGACTTCAACTCACTCTGAACCATTTTCATCACCTCCTACCTCTAATTCTCCGTTCTCCTAATATACTTTGTTTTTTTATTTCTCCCAATATACTTTATTGGTACTTATACATTCTTTATGTGTTACCTTCATAACCTTGAGCAATGTCATTATACTTTCATTTTCTTTTAATTACAGACAGTCTCCTTTAGCTTACCACTTTCAAGGTAGGATCCTGCCAGTCCTTTTCCATTTAGCTCCCTTCCCCTCCTTTCCTCTCTCAACTTCTATAATCTAAATCCACTCTTTTGCACAGGAGTCTCAACAACATTCTAATGGTTGTTGTATCCATCTGTTTTATGGATACATTGTAATTGACTTGATTAAACCTCTATGGAATGGATCCCAATAATGCACTCTTAAAAGCAACGCTGCAATAAACATTTTTATAACCTTTTAAACTTGTCCCATTTCTCAAGATAAATTCTTAGAACTTTCTGGGTCAAAGTACCTTATTAAGGCCACCTATCTTGCAGAAAGATTTACTTTTAAAGACTAGTTTTAAAAACTGATCAGAAAAATAATCATCCACGAACTTTCACACTATTTCCCCAAAATTAAGTTTTATTAAAAGGGCTAGTTCTCATTAAGTGTCACAAAGCAGTTATTCATTTATAGATCTGTGTACTTGAAGCATTATTCTAGAAACAAAAAAAAAAATGCCAGAAATTTAAATATTTGGATAGGTCTGCATACTCATAAAATGGTGCTACTTATTGACAGTTTATATAGAAAAACCATTAAACTCTGCTTTTTAACATGAATCACAATTGTATTTCTGATCTAAGGTGTAACATGATTATTAATGCCTAAAATCAGTCTCTAGAGAAAATTTAATGAATCATACATTTCTCTGAATTTCAAAGTTGGGAAATTAAGTACAACACACATTAACACACTCCCCTAATGAGAGAATGCACCCTTGAGCTTAATATATAGCTTTCCCGTAAGAAAATTTTTTCTTTAAATATCGTCCTTAAAATTTAGTTACTGAGTAATGCTCTTTCCTGGTTCAATCTCAAATTTTAAAAGTCTACTCAAATGTCATAAACCAACAGGAAATTGGCCTTAAGATTTTTGTAAGTTGGTCAGATTTTTAAGAACATTCAAAAATGATTCCATAGTTGAATGTATCAGGTTGTCTAAATGGACTGGCATTTTAGCTAGTATCATAAACTGTACTGTAAGTGGAATTTTGAAAAACCTGATTTTTCAAATGCTTGGAAATATGGATTTCAGAGCCTACACTTAAGAGTACAATGTGGGCACTTGAAAAATCCTTTTAAGAGGCACCTGGATGGGTCAGTCAGTTGAGCATCCGACTCTTGATTTGAGCTCAGGTCATTTTCCCAGGCCTGTGGAATTGAGCCCCATGTCAGGCTCCTTGCTGAGCATAGAAACTGCTTAAGATATATTCTTGGTATCTCTCTCTCTCTGCCTCTCCCCCTCCAGCTCATGCTCTAACAATAAATTTAGAAGTTCTTAGAAGATTAAAAAATTTAAAAAGAATTTCTAATTTAGTATTTCTAATTTAAAGCTAATGTATACACGGTGGTGACTGGCAGAGCTGGCCTCATGAGTATGTAACCTATGCAGCCACGTGGCACCCCCATGCTCCATTTAATGCTATTCTTTTGCTGCCTTGAAATTGTTCATTTTTAAATTTTAGTATTTTTGAGAAAGAGACAGCACGAGGGGTAGCGAGGGGTAGAGAGAGGATCTGAAGCAGGCTCTGTGCTGACAACAGACAGCCCAAAGTGAGGCTCTAACTCATGAACCATAAGATCATGACCTGAGCCAAAGCTGGATGCTTAACTAAGCCACCCAGGTGCTCCGAAATTTTTCATTAAAAAAAAAAAAAAAAAAAAAATTTATTTTCAGAGGTGGGGAGGGGCAGAGGTAAGGACGGGGAGAGAGAGAGAGAGAATGAATGAATGAATGAATGAATGAATGAATGAATCCCAAGCAGACCCCATGCTATCTGCATGTCTGCAGAGCTCCACAGGGCCCAATTTCATGATAGGAAGATCAGAACCAAAAAAAAAAAAAAAAAAAAAAAAATCAAGAGTCCAACACTTAACTGCCTGAACCACCAGGCACCCCTCAAAATCTAAATTCTTATTATAACTGAATAAAAGCATTTTTATTCTCAAAGCTAATTTACGGCACCTACATACTGGGCAAATTAAGACAAACTTTATTCTGTGAATTACCATCACGTTTTCTAGGTTTCAATGAGTTCCTCTAGAAGATAGGAGCCCACCTAGTCTAGAGAAAATGCAAACAAACTTGCAGTGCCTCAGTTGAGCTCTGTAGCATTTACGGGAAAAATTTACCCAAAAATACATGTTACTTTTATGTTGTTAAGCTATAGATATCTTATCATGTTAGTATTTTTGACGACCTTACCCTCTCCTTTTTAGCTGCTCAAATGTAATTCACATACATGTTACCCATTTAAAGTATAAAATTCAATGGCTTTTAGGATGTTCAGGGTTGTCCAGCCATCATTATCTAATTCCAGAACTTCATCACCCCAGAAAGAAACCCATACCCATCAGCAGTCTCCCACGTCTCACCTTTACCCCCACCATTGGCCAAGCAGTAATCTATTTTCTGTCTCTACAGATTTGCCTGTTCTGGACATTCAATAATTTTTTATAGTTTACAAAGTAAATTTTGCAATTCTTTTGTTAAATTCATTCCTAAATATATTGTTGTACTGCAACTGAAATATTTTTCTAAATTTACTGTCCGATTGTTCATTGCACATGTACGAAAACCTAAGTGGCTTCAGCATATTGCTCTTGTTCCCTTGCTGCCATACTGCTGACTCATTTATTAGTTTTAATAGTTTCATAGTGGATTCTTCAGTATTTTCAACAGACAAGATGATGACATCTTGCAAATGAAGTCTTTCTTCCTTTCCAATCTCAGTGCCTACCTTATCCCTTTTTAAGGGCCATAAAGTATTCATTCTGTTATAATCACATTCATGTGATTAAAGACCATTTTGCCTAGAGGCAAACAAGTGTGTTTTTCAAGCTCCTCAAATTTGTTCGCTTTGAGTTAGCAAAAAAACATGAGGGATAAAGGTCATTTTCTGTGTAACAGCACATACATGCTTTAAAACAAGAGCCAGAGAACAATACATTATAGCAGAATACTTACGTGGAGTTACATTTGATAGCCAAAGAAAAGAGTGGAAAGTACTTTTCTTTCCAAGTATTGAGTAGCTTGTCAATTATGCATATTGATGTGGTCAGCCAGAGCATTCTAATTTCCTTTGCCACCGCACTAAATAAAGCCCTAAGGGGCTTCCTAGCTCTAGATCCAGGTAAAACCACCCTCTAAACAGCAGTATGCATTTACTGAGCACCCACCACATTGCTTTAAGTCACATTTGCATTATGACAAAAGCCATGAAGTAGGACAAAAGCCAGAAGTATGGCTTCTGGTGTAAATAAGGGATTAGCCCAGCCTTTATAAAGCAGGATATAAGTGCCCATGAAAAGATTTGTGTAAGAGCCACTTAGGTGGGTACAATTTAATATGACATCAACCTACATAGTATAGGGCACAGGGACTATAGTTAATATGGCTATTTGAAACTTAAGAGTTGCTGAGTAGATCTTAAATAACACACTGTCAAAAAAACGGAGTTAAATATATGAAGTGATGGATGTTGTTAATACCACTTCATAGTAAGTAGGTATATCACATCATCGTGTTGTATAATTTCCATATGTACAAGTATATTTGTCAATTTTTCCCCTCAACAAGTTACGAAAGTTATAAAAATACAATAGATTTTAAGAACTCTCAATTAGATATCCAGAAATGAAGTTGGGTGGGGTGGGGGAGGGAGACTTGAAAGCAGACATAGGACTATAAATGTGACATGTGTCCTATCTAGCACAAGCCATGTTAAATGTTTTTTATTCTCAAGAAAGTATTGGTTCTAAACCTTCAAGATGTCTAGAGGTAATACTTTCACACTAGAGGTTATTCTTTCTGTGTCTTATCCTTTAGGTTACTACACATTAGGATATACTATTCAGTCATTCTTAAAGGGGGAAGAAATAACTATAAAACCATGATTAGAGATCTAATCGTGCTGCCAAGAGGGAAAAAAAAAAGTATCCTTACTGCTTAATACTGTAGCTTTATCTCAGGATAAAATATATTACATTGACTTAACCTTGTTTCTAAGTGCAGAGAAACTTCTTACAGGACCACACAGTGGTACTCTTCCATTTGAGTTCCTCTCCCCAACTGCTTTTTCATATAAATTCTATTTTACAAGGATTTTACAAACTTAAATATAGCTCATCTATAGTATATAAAAATTTATGTTTCGGATAAATCCTGAATGTTAAACCCAAAACCTAGATTTCACATCTGTATTCCCATTATAAATTTTTCACTGGAATTAGAAATAAACTTTTATACACACTCAGTATCTAAGTTATAAGCAGGATGTAGCACCAAAAAAGGTTTCTAAACCAGAATTTCCCACAGGAATAAAGTTCTAAGATTTCACAAAAAGCTACTTATTAGAGTTGCTAAAATATGTTATTTAAAATGTAGTACTGACTCAGCAGAAATATGGAGTCAATATACTCCTGTGGGCGATCCTAGTAACCTAAAAATTTGTGTTAACAAAAACATTTTTAATATTTACTGTGGAGGAAAAGCAAAGGAAGTTGAAACTTGAGGAACACAACTTTTCTTATCCTTTTGGCTATGGCTATGACCAGGGCAAGAAATTACTAAAGCTAAAGAATGCCCTAAGCACATTATGGCAATGTTCACAGAAGATGTTTAGAAGACATGGTGAGGGTTTTAATTCTTCACTGTGCTTTTTTCAGGTGTCAGAGTGCCCATATTGTAGTTTTTCAAATATTTCAAATTCAGATCTAAAAGAATTTTTATCTTCTTTCTCAGGATGTACACTGAATTAACTGTATACAGTCAGATAAACTAAATATGGTCACTATCATGAATACATTCATACTCCCTACTTTGAAGACAATTATTTGCCTAATAATCTACACTTCCAAATGCTCAGTGAGGTTTTCATTCAAGTAACAAGACTTTCACTCATCTTTGTTCTTGAAGAAACATTCAGCTTCAAAGAAAGTCAAACCTAGTCAACAGAACCTGAAATCCATAGCACAACCAACACTGGCATTAAGGAACTTAGATTTGTCTTGGTAATAAAACACTACTCAGGGAGCATGGTGCATGTTCCTTAAATGAAAGAGCCCATCTCCAGGCCGGAGGCAGAGGGTTCCTTACATGGCTTGTTGGCACGCTGTGTGCCCTCTGACCTATGAAGGGACCCATTGCGACTACAGCCCTCCAACTCACTTCTCTGACAACCTCTAACTAGATGCTTAAACTCACTTTTACCTTCTCACTCTTCTCCATAGGTAACCCTCCAACTCTTTTACTGCTGGTCCTAAATGGACACTTGAAGATTCTAAGTTTGTTTATACTTAACTACCAGTTGTTTTCCTAAGTGGGCTCTAGAACTAGAAAATACTCTTCGGACACAAGGACTCACCTAGAGGTACCACCAAAATTTCAATGTTTCAATACTACAACAAGTGTTACTTTTTACATGGTTATAAGGAAAATTCAGCACTGTGTTATCTCTTTTTTTTTTTTTTTTTAATGGAAAGATATGGAGTCTAACTCCTTTCCCTTTGGGTCTGGGCTGAACCTACTAATTACACTAGTAACCAAGAGAATGGAGATGTGATATAATTTTTAAAATTTTTATTTTTGAGAGGGAGTGAGAGAAAAAGAGAGAGAGAGAGAGAGAGAGAGAGACCAACCGTGGAGTGGAAGAAAGACAGGGAGACACAGAATCCAAAGCAGGCTCCAGGCTCTGAGCTGTCAGCACAGAGCCCAGAGCCGGATGTGGGGCTCGAATTCACAAAGCATGAGATTATGACCTGAGCCAAAGTCAGGTACTTAACCAACTGAGCTACGCAGGCACCCCAGAAGTGATATAATTTTTGAGACTACGTCAGAAAAATGCTAGCTCTTTCACCCTGCTCTCATGGGATGCTCTAAACTCTGGCCACTCTATCTCCAAAGGCTCCGTTGTCCAGATTCCCCCCCTCAGAATGCAGCCACTATGTTGTGATGATTTAAATTACAGAGAAAGGCCACGTGCAGGTGCTCTGGTCAAGTCTCAGCTGAGGCCAGCCTTCAAATCATCCCAGCCCTACCACCCAACATATAAAGAAGTTTCCAGATGACTCCAGTCCCCAGCTGTTTGAGTCATCACCAGCCTTTCAAGTGTTCTGAGCAGAGTTCTTAGATTTGAGGGTACTGAACATGCCATCCATGCCATGTTTGCCCTGTTTGAAGTCCATGGGATCTGTGGGCATGGTATTATTGAGGTTTTTAAACCACTAACTTTTGGTGTAGTTTATCACACAGCCATCAATAGAGTGTGAACAGAGTTCCCATAGTTGGTTTTGAGTTCCAGAAAAATAAAAATAGAGAAAACAGAAAGGAGAATACTACACCAAAGCATATTTGAAAAAACAAAACAACAACAAAAAAACCCTGGGTCTTCAAAACTAAAATGGCCTACCAATGAACAATACAATGAATTTTAACAGCTCTTGTCAAGATCTATCCCTACAAGCCATCTTCCAAAATATGAACACCAACAAAAAAAAGTCAGTCCCCTACAATGGATCAAGAATTAAAATATGACTGGCCCTCCTCATTAGAAGGGCTGGATGCTAGCAGACAATAAAACAATCCATAAAAATTCTCAGGGAAAATTCTTTTCATCCTAGCATTCCATGACCAATCCAACTAGCCATCACATATGCAAGCTTAATAAAAGGACCAGAAAGTGTATTTTCTTCACATCCTTCCATAGCATAGCCCTTAAGTATAGGTTCCATCAAAATCTAGGAACATGGCAAGAAAGGAGTGGACGTGGGATTTAGGAAATAATCTAATATAGGAAAGCAATCATGGGACCTCACAGGATGATAGCTATGAAAAAGGCCTAGAGAATAGTTAGTCCAGTTTGGAGCAAAAATGGGCTCCAGAGGGATTTCAGGGAGGGAAGGAAAATAATAGTCAATAGATTATATAATGAGGCATCTGAAAATAATTGAGAATATAGTAAAAGGCAAAGACCTCAAAGAATAAATTTAGGAAAAATAAAGTGCTATCCAAGAAAGGAAATGTAAACCAAGGTTTAGTACTAAGATGTGAAAAATATTATAGCCTTAATGTGATTTAACTTTTTTTAAGGTTTTATTTTTTAAGTGATCTCTACACCCAACAGGGGGCTTGAACTTAAGACCCCAAGATTAAGAGTCATATGCTCTACCAACTGAGCCAGCTAGGCACCTCCTATTCAACTTTCAGAGCCAATCTATATACAAATTAAAGTATTACGGTTACATTACAGAATGAAATCTCACCACTTTGATATTATAAAAATCCTTTACTTTTTACAGTAAAAAGAAAAAATGTCAGAACTCTGGAGTACAAGAAGGGAGATGAAATAAGAATGTATTACTGTTGTCACTAATGAAAACAGGAAAAAAAAATTAGTGAAACCAAACTGTGGCTCTTTGGAAAGGTCAATACAATTGATCAATCTCTAGCAAGACTGACAAAAAAAGACAACACAAATTACACTATCAGAAATGAAGAGGAACTTCATTACAGAACCTGGAAAGGATAAGACATAAAAAGGTAAGAGAAGAGTATAAACAATTCCACAAATTCAACAACTTAGGTGGACCAGTTCATTAAAAACTCCAAGCTAAGGGGACACCTGGATGGCTCAGACTGTTGAGCATCCAACTTCAGCTCAGGTCATGATCTCAGTTTGTGAGTTCAAGCCTCATACCAGGATCTCTGCTGTAGCAGGGAGTCTGCTTGGGATCTTCTGTCCCCCTTTCTCTCTGCCTCTACACCACTCACACGCATTTATTTCATTCATATGTTCTCTCTCTCTCTCTCAAAAAAAGCAAACTAGAAAACCTCCAAGCTATCAAAACTCATCCAAGATAAAATACATAACCTTAACAGTTCTATAACTAATAACAAAATTTAATTGTAGTTAAAAACCTTCTGGGGAGAAAAATCTCTGGGTCTAGATGGTTTCACTAGTGAATTCTACCAACTGTTTAAAAAACAATCAATTATATACAATCTCTACAGAAAAAAAAAAACAACAAAGTTATACTTCTCAATTCATATTATGAAACCAGTATTAACCTGATACCATAGCCAAAGAAAACACTGTAAGCAAACTATAGACCAGTAAAACCTATATGCTAAGTTCTTCAAAATATTAGCAAAACAAAATCAGCAATTGATAGTAATATACCATAACCAAGTTGAGTTTATGCCAAGAATTCAAGATTTGTTCAATATTTGGGGGGGAAAAGGATGCTACTATAGTCACAATCAAAAGAAAAACCACATGCTCCTAGCAGATGCAGAAAAAGTATTTGACAAAATCCAATAAACATTCTTGATTAAAAACACTCAGCGAACTGAAAGTAGTTGAGAACTTAACTTCATGAAGGGCAGCTACAAAACACTCAAAATTAACAACATACTTAATGATGACTGAATGCTTTCCAAGATGAGGAACAAGGTAAGAATGACAATTCTATTTGACACCAAATTGAAAGCCCTACTGAATGCAATAAGGCAAGAAAAACAAAGCGTACAGATTGGGGGGAGTGGGGGAATTGTCCCTATTTATAACATGGTTGTCTAGGTAGAAAACCGCCATTAAAAAAAAAACAAACAAACAAACAACAAAAACAAACTAGAACAGACCATTAGTTGCTAGGGGTTAGGATAGACGTAGGGTAGGACTGTAAGGGATCACACAAGGTAGTTTTTCCAGGGTGATGGAGCCGTCCTGTATCTTAATCATAGCAGTTAATCACATCTATACATTCACAGTACACCCAATAAGGTCAATTTTACATAGTTCTTTTATTTTTTTTTAATTTTTTTTTTTAAATGTTTTATTTCTGAGAGAGAGACAGCATGAGTAGGGAGAGTCAGAGAGAGAGAGGGAGATACAGAATCTGAAACAGGCTCCAGGCTCCGAGATGGCTGTCGGCACCAAACCTGACGCGGGGCTCAACAAACCATGAGATCATGACCTGAGCCAAAGTCGGACGCTCAACCGACTGAGCCACCCAGGCGCCCCAACATATGCTCTTTTAGATAACAGTTCTGTTCTGGGGCACCTAGGTGGCTGTCAGTTAACCATCCAACTTCAGCTCAGGTCATGATCTCACAGCTCATGGGTCCAAGCCCCACCTCAGGCTCTGTGCTGACAGCTTGGAGCCTGTAACCTGCTTCAGATTCTGTGTTTCCCCTCTGTCTCTGTCCCTACCCCACTCTTGCTCTCTCAAAAATAAACGTTAAAAAACTTTTTTTTTTTTTTTTTTTTAAGGAAAACAATTCTATTCCTTCTTCAATGTTACTATTCAACCATGCTGTCCTAAACAGTGAACTGTGTTCCAAAAACTAAGGAAAAAAAAAAAGGTAATGCCTACCATTTCTCCCCCAACCTCATCCCCATCAGATGTAACCCATTTCTAATCAATTATTTAAGAAAACTGCAGTAAATTAGTCACTGACAGCTAGGCACATCTAACTCAGAATATACAGTATACACAACCTGCAGATTTGCTTAAAATTTTCTGCATATGACAAACATTTTAAAGGCATAACCGACTTAGCAAGGAGAAAAGGGGCCAGAAAAGCAGAGGGAACTAAACACCAGCGGCATGTGTGCTGCCCCTCTCCTCAGCTGATTTTATGGGTATGGGATATGGTTGTAAAAAACCAAGTGGCAACAAGAAAAGTATGCTGGATGTGGTGGACTGGCAGTCAATACCCACTTTACTTCCCATACAGGGGGTCTACTCTGCACTACAGAGACTGGAAAATGAAAAACTTACATTGCCCTAGCAGCTAGTGGTTCCTGATACGTAGGTTCCACTGACCACACTCACTGATACAGAATTGAAAAGTGAAACAGAAGTTAAAGCCAGATTCTGCTGCCTCTGCTACTTTGGCCAATGGACACAATCAAGGCATTTGATTTGTCTGCAGCATCATTTTATAGTGTCTAGTAAATAGCTTCAGGAGTATCAAGAGGCAAGGCATGGACCTTGATGTGAATCAAAGCAAGGAGATTAATTCTGGAGCCGATAGCATTAGTCGAGGCTTCCTGTTAGTGGTGGTTTCTCCACCGTGGCAATGTGGTGGTGTTCTCTGCGGTCTTTACCTCCTCAACTGAGCAGCACTTTTGTTGGCCCTGTATTGTGGTGTGGCTTTGGGAATTGTTCCTCAAGACTCAACCCTGCTAGAATGTGAGCTCCAGAAGGGCGACTTTTTTTTTTTTTTATGTTTTTCATTTATTTCTGAGAGAGAGAGACAGCATGAGCAGGGGAGGGTCAGAGAGAGAGGGAGATACAGAATCTGAAATGGGCTCCAGGCTCTGAGCTGGCAATCAGCACAGAGCCCGATGGGGGGCTCGAACCCATGAACCGTGAGATCATGACCTGAGCCAAAGTCGGACGCTTAACCCAATGAGCCACCCAGATGCCCCCAGAAGAGGAACTTCTGTCTGTTTTGTTCATTAATGATCCCAGAACAGTGCCAGCACATAGCAGCTGCTAAGTATTTGCTGATTGAATGGCTACAGCTAGAATCTATTTCTTCAACTCTTCCAACAATTGTGCAGGCATTTACTGCTTTACAGTAAATCCTCTCCTGTTTAAAGTGCTTAAATTCTGTGTCTGCAACTTCATAACTCACATAGAAAGGAGAAGCAGCTGATATCTAGATGAAGCCAAAACCTTGAAAGAGGTATACCTTTAGGAAGAGTCAAATGCAAAAAATCTGCCCACCAAGCAAAGTGAGATGTTAAAGACAAGTGTCTGCCTCTAGGCTCTACATAGGAGGGAGAAGGTCTACCCTGAACATTTTTAAGTAAGGGAACTGCACCTCATATAGGTTTGAAATTTAAGTTTTTATTGCCTAAGTGGTCCTGGAACCTCTAAATCATGCAATTAACAACAAAAGATACACCCTCAACCAAAGCTACCCAGGATTTCCATAAAGCTCTCCTGCAAATAACAATAAAATCTTAGAAAACCATGATAACAATCTACTTATAATCAAGAGGCAATAAACAAAACAAAAGAATTGCAAAATTCAAATAGAATTCCTTTCAAAAAAGAAACAAAGGGCACCTGGGTGGCTCTGACTGAGCCAGTTAAGCATCGGACTTCAGCTCAGGTCTGGATCTCCCAGTCGAGGAGTTTGAGCCCGCATTGAGCTCTGTGCTGACAGCTCAGAGCCTGGAGCCTGCTTCAGATTCTGTGTCTTCCTCTCTCTCAGGGCTCCCCCACTCACTTGCTTTCTCTCTCACTCTCAAAAATAAACATTAACTTAAAAAAAAAAAAAAAAACACAAAAGCTGCAGCAGTCCACACTTTTGACCAATTAGAGGGTAAAATAAGATAAACTAGCACCTGCTGGTGTATAAAAACCTGATCTCTGCCTAGGTAACTACAAAAGCCTTAACCTTCTTCATGGGGGGGAAGAAAAATAATAAAGGTCGGCCTTAGGAAGTCAAATAGCAATCCAGAGAAAGTTCGAGAACACATAGACACATCTGGCCAAACCAAATCAATAATCCATGTGGCCAATGGAAATGGGTAAGACATGTCACCCTCCCAGCAAACCTTAAACCACAGGGGTTTCTCAACACATGTAAGAAGGTAACGTAATGATGAGAAATTCAAATGGTATAGCAGGTTCAAAGGGGGTATGCATCATCCATTCAGTGATCATTTCCTGAGTTCTAGAAATTAGTTACAAAACTGAACACAAGGACCACATCCTAGAAGAATCTGTCATCCAGTGAGAAGATACAGTTATGTCTAATACGCTTTGTCAAAAAGGCCTTTTTCATCAAGGCTGATCATCATCTGTTTTGCACAAACTGATCTACCCACCTGTAGAGCAGGAACCACCAGTCTTCCTGCTATCAAACATCCTTCCTGGAACACATAAACCTGGTGAGGCTGTAATTATGATCCCCATTTTGTAGATCAAGAAACTGAAGCTTAGCGAAGTTAACTTGATTTGCTCTGGATCCCACAGCTCGATAATGACAGCATGGACATTCAAACCCAGGACTGACACCAAACCCTCTGGTGGTACCCACACCTTAGGCCTGAGAATTAAGAAATCGGCAATGAATCACACTCCTGCTCCCAAGTTCATTAGCAGTATACCATCTAACCCTCCAGGCCACGCCACAGATATTCTCCCTCCCATTCATTAGTGTTCTGAAAATAAAGGAAATGGAGCTTGGTCCTCATAGGTGAGTACTTGAGCCAAATTTTTGACAAGTAGGTTTACTTTGGGATCAAGAATACCAAGGTATGTGATTCTTGCCCTCAGAAACTTAAGTCCAGTTTATAGCCAAAGACGACTTGCTCAAATTGTCCCCAAATATGTGGCAAGTTCGGGGATTATAATACATATGCACCCACCTATCGATCTGTGTATAGTAGATAACCATGTAAACGGACATATACAGAGAGGCAGCTGTAGAATTTCTCAAAAAGATAAAAAGTCCTAGTAGTTCCACTCTGTTTATTTATAACGTAATAGTTCATATAGCTGAGCTCAATGTACCTTTACCTGATTATGAGGGAAAAAAAAATAAAAGGTTTACTAAATACGAGTACACTACCTGTATAACCAAGACTTCAAGGGTCACTGGTTAAGCTATTAAGAACTTGTAGCCTCAAGCATTTACAAATATCCATTTACACATAAAACCAAGGCTCAGGTAATTGCAAATTGTGGTTCGTGTGTGTGTGTGTGTGTGTGTGTGTGTACACACATACATACACACAAACAGCAAATAGTATATATCTTGAAAAAATACTCTTCCATATTTTAAGCTAGTTTATACTGGGCTTCCCTGTACTCCCTCAAATATTCCAAATTAATATGGCTTTATTATACATAACAGAATTTAAGAAATAATCAGAATTCTAAAAGTTCAAGCCAAATATAAAAGAAATAGGAGGGGTGCCTGGGAGGCTCAGTCAAGAGTCTGACTCTTGATTTTGGCTCAGGTCATGATCTCCATTTCATGGGTTCGCACCCCACATCGGGCTCCATGCTGACAGTATGGAGCCTTCTTAGGATTCTCCCCCTCTCTCTACCCCTGCCCCCTGCTTGCACAGTTGAAATATTGACATCGGATACCATCATTTATTTTTGTTTTTAATGTTATTTTTTTTTATTTCTTTCTGAGAGAGAGAGACAGAATGAACAGGGGAGGGTCAGAGAGAGGGAGATACAGAATCTGAAGCAGGCTCCAGGCTCTGAGCTAGCTGTCAGTACACAGCCTGAGGCAGGGCTTGAACCCACGAACCGTGAGATCATGACCTGAGCCGAAGTCAGACACTTAACCGAGCCACCCAGGTGACCCCAGATACCATCATTTAAAAAGTGAGGAAGTAATCCAAAAGAAATATTAATCAATATCCATTTTAATCAAAACCTTATTTTCTTCCATTATTTCTTTGCATCCTGTTTTAGTTAGAAGTATTTCATGACTGGGAACAAAGGAAGAAAAGGGAACAGACTTATAAAATTTCCTAGAACCAAAATGGAAAATATAAAAATTGGGTCTCAATCCTGGACAGATCTCTTCATACTCCTCAACTCTGATGAAGGTTCTTAAGCTCTCCATGTAGACTGGAGGACAAGTACAAGAAACAATAAAGTGGATTTACACAAAGATCTTTAAGGTTCCACACCTTCAAGCAATCAGGGCATCTGAATATTAAGGACAAAAATGTTCTCTTCACATCTCACAAATCAAAAAGAGGAAACAATAGAAAGAATAGAATACAGAAAGATCTTGATATAGAAAGAATATCAAGATCACACTAACGACAGCCTTACCCAATTACAGGGTCAGTGAAGAGTGTTCTAGATGAGGAAGTAGACTCATTCCAGCCTCACTTCTTTCACCGGCCTTGTGTGCTGTCTACTTGAAAGCTTAATGGACATGAGATACAAGAGGCAGCGATGACTGTGATTCTTACAGGACACTGTTCATACAGTCACTAATTACCTTTCATGAACCAGGGGCCCTGGAGTTTAATAAATGAGTGAAGAGGACATTAATAAGCCCCAAAGGATCTCTAAGTGTTTCATTTTCTTAGTGTAGTGAGTCAGGACTCACTTCAATTTTAACAACCCACATAAAGCCAGTACTTTTTTTCTTCCCTCGCATACCAGGTAAGCCTAAATAGGAGGGAATGAAAAGAAGGAAGGTCACAGCTAAGTTTTTAGAAGAGATCAAAGTTACTCACGGAGTGAGTACTTTTCATCAGGAACTGTCCGGAATGGCTGAGAAGATAATGGGAGGTTCCCCTGCTTATCCTGACACCTTGCCAGGGCTTTAGCAAAAGTAGTTTGCTGACCTAAACA